TATATATATATATATATATATCCAAAATTACTAGCCACAAGTATGACAAGAATTCACCCAATCATATCAATTGGTATAACTCAAGAAATTCTGCTTGTGCAAAGCAGCATTTTCCTTTATGGAAATTCCATAACATGTGTAAAACATGGGAATTGTAAAATGTGTTGCCATCAATACTTTATAAAAGTATCTCATTTCCTTAAGTAAACTAATGCTCCACACTCCACAGTAATCTGTTCAAGTAACTAAAACCTTTACAAGATCACACTTTCTTCCATAGTGCCAGATACATAAAAAGAGAGTGAAAATGAAAACAAAGCATAGAGAAAGAGTTGAACCGTGTCTTTAATAGGCCTATTTTCTTGTCGGATTGAACATGTCTTATTCTACTTTTGGTTTAAGCCTTAAGGGACTTGATTCTTCAGTTTTTTGATGACCTTTTACCTACTATTCTGTGGTCAATGACCTTTGATAGATTATGTCAGGAAAAATACAGTTAAATTTAAAAGAATTAATATATAAGAGTTGTATAAGAGTTTTTTATGTTTTGTTTTCTAGTTAAAAATGAGTTTTACCTTGATATCCACATTGGCATCAAATAAAACTTCAATTTTGATTTGACAAAAGCACCATATATATCTATAATTTTGTCCTGATGCTAAATGTGAGGAAATCCAATAAAAGGAGCAACTATCTGCAAATAATGTGGCCGTGTAACGTGACCCCAAAGCTAAAGTTTGCAAAATCTTCAAACCTTACTTGCACTTCACGAGCATGTGGCACACATTCCAATACGTTAAGGCTAATTAACCATCATTCTCTAGCTAGTATTAAAATCATGAAATCTATCATCAAATCTGCACCTCGCATTAGTTTCTCACCAATGAACACCTTGAAATCCGTCCATGTTTCCTCAGAAGCCAATCAAACCCAAGCCCCCACCAATTCTTTCTCCATGCAAACATTAGATTCATCTGTCCAAAGCTTAATAAAATCATGGAAGAGAAGGCAAAGGTGGATGCTTCTATTCACCACACACAACCACCAAGACTTGAATAATAATAGAGCACCATGGCGCACCCATTTGGTCAATTTCCTAGACTCAACATGGGTTCACATGTTCACAGTCTCGTTGCTCATTGTGGACCTCATCATCACAATCCTAGAGCTATCTTCCTCTCTAGTTTCGTGTGAGAAGAACATGAACAGCGTATTAGAGCATTGTTTGCATTGGATTGGAATTGGTATTCTTTGTTTTCTTTTGGTGAAGACTATGGCTATGCTAGTGGGGTTAGGCTCTTCGTTTTTCCACCATGTGGGGTATGTTGTTGATGGGGTTGTGGCCATAGGGGCTATGTTTTTGGAAGCCTTTGTGGTGAGGAAAGGGGGTGGTTTGTTGGTTGTAGTGAGCTTGTGGCGTGTCATTAGAGTTGTGGAGAGTGCCTTTGAGTTGAGTGATGAGGCCATTGAAGCTCAAATTGCGGGTATAGTTTGCCAATTTGAGGCACTTAAAGAAGAAAATACGAGGCTCTTGGAAGTAATATATGAGAAGGACAAGATGATTGAAATGCTCAAGGAAGATTTAGATAAGTGTAGAGATTTTTTTTAAACAATCATAATATTAGTATGATATATTTATTATTAAAAATAATAATTAATCTTCATAGGATTATGAGTATAAATAGAGTAAATATTTTTTTTACATAATTTATTTCATGTTTTAAGTTAAAATTCGAATTTTGGACAACTTAATTAAAAATATTAATCCTCACTACTTAATGTTAGTAAATAAGTATTTTCTTAGATAAATTCAATTTGTGACGATTAATTTTACTACTTAATTTAGCATCCTGATCTTTATATGTTGGTTAGAGAAGTGTTCTATGCTTCCAATTATGATAGGTTGGAAGAATGGAAGAAGTAGAAAAACGAAATAAAATGCATGTTATATAAATAATAAAGTTAGTATGGTTGCACCATGTTAAGGATAACAGAAAAAGATTAAAATCTGTTAGTTAGTTACAATTTAGATGATTTTATAAATAGACGTTTATCACCTTAGATGTAATTTACTGATACAATAATATTTTCTCTTTCATAAAGTTTTTCTCTAATCTCTCATTCATACAGAAACTTCAACATGGTATCAGAGCACAAGCCCTTACCAAATTCTCTTTCATAAACTCCCTGACTACAACTTTTTGAAAACTTTTGGTTGTGCCTGTTATCCCCTTCTTCGACCGTATAACCAACATAAACTTGATTTCAAATCTCATCAGTGTCTTTTCTTAGGGTATAGCAACCAACATAAGGGATACAAGTGCCTTTCTCCTACAGGAAAATGCTATATATCCAGACATGTCAAATTTAATGAATCTTTTTTCCCTTATAAACATTCTCCTAATCCCTTCCTTTCATCTTCTATTTTAGACATATATACTCTTCATCCTAGTCCTCCACTCACTGTGCTCATTCCTACTGCTGACAATAATTCTCATGAAAATCGTAATATTGCTAATACCACTAATGCTACTATAGTTGTTCCTAATGATGATGCAAATACTACTAATCCAATTGTTCCTGTTTCTAGTTCTATTACTAATACAGGCTCTACAGTTCTACAATCTCGAACTAAGGCTCATTCAATGACAACTCGTGCTAAGGCGGGCATTTTTAGGCCAAAAATATATACTGCAAAAGCTGCAGCCCATATATATGATAGCACAATTGAGCCACACACAGTGAAGGAAGCTCTTTCCAAACCAGAATGGTGTCAAGCTATGAAAGAAGAATATGAAGCTCTAATCAAGAACAATACATGGACCCTTGTGGATTTACCTCCGGGATGTAACGCAATAGGGTGCAAATGGGTCTTTAAAAGCAAATTTAATGCAGATGGTAGTTTTCACAAACACAAAGCACGTCTTATAGCCAAGGGCTATCATCAAAGAGCGGGTTTTGATTTTACCGACACATTCAGTCCTATGGTAAAACCTACAACAGTAAGAGTTGTCTTAACCTTAGCTCTTTCAAAACAGTGGCATATGCATCAAATTGACATCAATAATGCGTTTCTTCATGGTACTCTTAAAGAGATTGTGTATATGAATCAACCTCCTGGATTTGATTCCAGAGAGAAAGGGAAAGTGTGCAGGTTGCAAAAAGCAATTTATGGCCTTAAGCAGGCTCCCCGATCTTGGTTTCAAACTCTTAGTCACTTTCTCATCACAATGGGTTTTACGGCAGCAAAGAGTGACACTTCGTTATTCATTAAAATCACTCAAACATTCACTCTTTTGGTCCTGGTCTATGTGGATGATATAATAGTCACTGGCAGTTCTAAATCTGAGGTTGTTTCTTTGGTTACTAAACTCAATTATATGTTTAAGCTTAAAGACCTTGGACCTCTACACTATTTTCTGGGAATTGAAGTAAGTAACACTACAGATGGAGGACTCATTCTTTCACAAGCAAAGTATATTAGAGATCTTCTTCATAGAGCCAAGATGACTGACTCCAAATCACAACCAACACCAATGGTTTCAGGCCTTAAACTTCAAGCAAATGGTTCAGCTGCCGTGACAGATCCAACCTTCTATAGATCAATTGTGGGTGGACTTCAATACATCACTATTACAAGACCTGAACTCTCGTTTTCCATCAATAGGGTCTGTCAATTCATGCACAATCCTTAAGAACATCACTGGAAAGCAGTCAAAAGAATACTGAGGTATTTACAAGGAACAGTTCACTATGGCCTACACCTCAAGAAATCTTCTCAACTAAATTTAACTGCATACTCTGATTCAGATTGGGGATCAGATTTGGATGATAGAAAATCCACCACTGGATTTTGTGTTTATCTCGGGCAGAACCTAGTCTCTTGGTGTTCAAGAAAACAACAAGCTGTCTCTAGAAGTAGCACTGAAGCAGAATATCGTGGAATCGCAGCTGTCACCGCAGAATTGGTTTGGTTAAAGTCACTACTTAGTGAACTACACATCTCTATTCCTGTTCCAAAAACATATTGTGATACCCTTGGTGCATTTCTATTGGCAGCCAATCCTATTTTGCACTCTCGCACCAAACATTTTGAACTTGATTTATATTTTGTTCGAGACAAAGTGATGAAAGGAGAAATTCAAGTCATTCATCTACCAGCAAGGTTTCAAGTTGCTGACATCCTCACAAAGTCTCTCTCCAGTTTCCAGTTTGAAGAATTTCGACACAAACTCATGGTTACCTCCAAGGACAACATGAGTTTGAGGGGGGATGTTAAGGATAACAAAAAAAGATTAAAATATGTTAGTTAGTTACAATTTAGATGATTTTATAAATAGACGTTTATCACCTTAGATGTAATTTACTGATACAATAATATTTTCTCTTTCATAAAGTTTTTCTCTAATCTCTCATTCATACAGAAACTTCAACACACCAAACCCACAAAAAATGGAGAGGGAAAAGTTGCTTATACATAAAATTCATGAGGAAAATGTACAAATACCCTTTAAACCCATCAATTGAATCATGAAATTATTATAAGAAATGTCTATCTATTAACCTTTTTTAGTTATTTTCATTTATAATGTAATAATTTACTCGTCTGCATATTTATACTATATAAGTAAACTAAGTTTTCATTCCACGTAAGCTATAATGCATAATATTATATGAAGTATCTCGGGCAGAACCTAGTCTCTTGGTGTTCAAGAAAACAACAAGCTGTCTCTAGAAGTAGCACTGAAGCAGAATATCGTGGAATCGCAGCTGTCACCGCAGAATTGGTTTGGTTAAAGTCACTACTTAGTGAACTACACATCTCTATTCCTGTTCCAAAAACATATTGTGATAACCTTGGTGCAGTTCTATTGGCAGCCAATCCTATTTTGCACTCTCGCACCAAACATTTTGAACTTGATTTATATTTTGTTCGAGACAAAGTGATGAAAGGAGAAATTCAAGTCATTCATCTACCAGCAAGGTTTCAAGTTGCTGACATCCTCACAAAGTCTCTCTCCAGTTTCCAGTTTGAAGAATTTCGACACAAACTCATGGTTACCTCCAAGGACAACATGAGTTTGAGGGGGGATGTTAAGGATAACAAAAAAAGATTAAAATATGTTAGTTAGTTACAATTTAGATGATTTTATAAATAGACGTTTATCACCTTAGATGTAATTTACTGATACAATAATATTTTCTCTTTCATAAAGTTTTTCTCTAATCTCTCATTCATACAGAAACTTCAACACACCAAACCCACAAAAAATGGAGAGGGAAAAGTTGCTTATACATAAAATTCATGAGGAAAATGTACAAATACCCTTTAAACCCATCAATTGAATCATGAAATTATTATAAGAAATGTCTATCTATTAACCTTTTTTAGTTATTTTCATTTATAATGTAATAATTTACTCGTCTGCATATTTATACTATATAAGTAAACTAAGTTTTCATTCCACGTAAGCTATAATGCATAATATTATATGAAGAGGATTATAATAACATCGGTGTAACTTTTACTAAGTATTACACCGCTTAATAACTTTATATTAAATGTAAATTTTGTAAATTCAACCGTTAGATATTGAAAGTTCATATCTCTTAGATCATATATACAAAATTTTATATTAATCCAAGATGATTTGATACTTCATTTTTATAAAACAAAATTGACGTAATATATTCATTTTAAAATACACTAAAATATAAATACTTTGATTACTTTCAAGTTGTTGTTCAATTTTAACAAAATTTGATATACACATATAAAGTTATATGAACTTTCAATCTAACGGTTAAATTTACAAAATTCACAATTAATATAAAGTTATTAAGTGTGTAATACTTAGTAAAAATTATATCAGTGTAATTATAACTCTCCTCATATTATATACTATACTATATAATATTTTTATATGCATACATCTCAAAAATATATATTACAAAATAAAAAACAACTTTTATTGTGATATTGTTGTTTAAAAATAATTATCATATTCAAACTCATTGCCATTTGATTCGGTGAAATATTCGGACCCCACAAATCCATATCCTTGTTCCTCCGGATCAAGACCCAATAATTAGATGTCCTTTTTGGTCAACCAACGAACACTACTCGCACGAAAAACATCTCGTACATACATAAATACTCATATTTTCATTGTGAATAATTTACACAAATTAATCTCATTTGCTAAATTCCCCACTCCCCCCACCATTCCTTTTCCTGCCAATATACCCGATAAAGAAACTATACTACTTCTAAAAAGCTTCTCCCGCAATTTGTAAAATTATTTAATTTCCTTTCCTAGTATAATACAGTTGTCTTATATAATTTCATAACTTTTAATAATTCTTAACTAATAGAATAATATAGGTTACGAAAAGTGTATAAGAGTTATGCAACAAAGGTATTAGAAAGGGAAAAAAAATGTAACAAAGTGTCATACTAACATTAATCTAGTTAGATAGTGATATGATCTTGAATCCCCTTATCATGTTGTTGTTGATGATCATTAATTACATTTGCGTTAAGATTTGTATTTACATTGGACATGTCCTTGAAGCTCCCCATGAAGAAAAATTTCCTGACCAAGTCGTCCCCCCAGTCCCACGCATGCAACACAACGTACGTCCCAATGCCCCCAATCAACCCATAAGCAATAGAATACGTTAAAGGCATCAACAGAATGGTCACAAACGCCGGCACAGCCTCCCTCATATCCTCCCAATCAATCTCCACCACACATCTCACCATCATCACCCCCACCAAGATCAACGGTGGCCCCACCGCCCACGCCGGAATCGACGCCAGCAACGGCGTCAAAAAAAACGCCAGAAAAAAATACCCCGCAACCGTTAACGCCGTCAGCCCCGTCCGTCCACCCTCCCGTATCCCCGTTGACGACTCAATAAACGTCGTCACGGGTGACGTCCCAAGTAACGACCCCACCACGATCGACGACGCGTCAGCCATGAAGGCGAAATACTGACCCTCGAAATCACCGTTGATGTCCAGAAACCCCGCGAATCTAGCCATCGAATATAACGTCCCCGTGGTGTCGAGAATATCAACGTACAAAAACGTCAACAGCGCCTCCCAGAATGCACCCTTCCGCATGTTATCAAAACTCAACGCCCCCGCGGTGCTTTCAATCACGTGCACGTCAACCACCTTTTTGAAATACTCATACCCCGCGTCGCCCAATTCGGTGTTGGGGAACACCGTAACAGGCGTGTTCCTAAACCACGAAATCACAGTCACCAAAACGATGCCGTATATCATACCGCCTTTAATGTTTTTCATTAAACAATACGCTATGATGACAAACCCAACCAACCCAAGCCATAGCGTTGGACTCTCCATGCGGTTCCCCGAACATAGTATCTTGTCGGAAACGGCGCCGCCAGAGGCTAAACTAACGCTTCCGTTAACTGTCAAAACCGGAGCTAACGCCGTTAGTTGGTTTCTCGGACAGCCTCCGAGGGTCACCAGCGTTGATGGGCTGAACCCGACCAGCCCAATGCCTTCGTTCGTTTGAAGCCCAATGAAGGCCAAGAAGAGACCGATTCCCGCCGAGGACGAAACTCGGACGGGTTTCGGAACGAGTTTCGCCAGTTTCGCGCGAAATCCAACGGCTGAGATCAAGAGAAAAATTAAGCCTTCTAAGAAAATAGCGGTTAATGCGGTTTTGTACGGTATCGAACCCGACCCGTGAAACCCGACTACTGAATAAGCGAAGTACGCGTTTGCACCCATGCCCGGAGCCAGGGCCAGAGGAAGGTTCGCCAACACGCCCATTATGGTGCACCCTATCAGCGACGATGCCACCGTGGCAACGATGAGGTCGCGGCGCGTACGGTCCACGCACGCCGCGTAACCCGGGTTAACGGGCGGAAACTTGCATGAGTTATCGGGTCGGGTTATGAGATGGGTCGGGCATTGGGCGAGTGGCGTTTTCGGGTCGGAGCATAAAGGGATGCAGTCGGAGACCGAGCACGTTCCGCCGGAGTCAGCAATGATGGTGGCGTTGACGGCAAGGATGTAAGCCATGGTGAGGAATGTGGCGGTGCCGGCGCGGAGCTCGGTAGTAAAGGTAGTGTTACGCTCGGCAAGTTTAAATCGCTTGCCGAGCCAACTATGAGTCACGAGCGAGTTAAGTCGAGCCGTAAACGACTCAAATTCTCGCTCATGACTCATAGGTTGAAGTTGTGCCATGAAAGAACTAAGAGACTCTGAAGAGAAGTATTGTATTAGTGGGTGTGGGAAGTTGAAGTTTGGTTTAGAATCAACCAAGTTTGATTGGAGTTACTATGTACGGGGATTTATTTTCACCTATTGTGTAGCTATCGTATTTATATTCCTTGTTAGTGCTATTGCACCTTCGGGTCCAATTTGTTTTTCTTCCTTTTTTAATTGTTGTCTTTTGGGATTATGATATATAAGCTAAAAAGGAAATATATGTTACGAGAACAAATGAAAAAGTTGAATAAAATTATAATATATGGTTTTCTGGATTGATTTTATGAATAAGGTTACCCGCTTGTTTTTATATGGGAAGAAACAAAAATAAGAGTTTTGGTTTATCGCTATTTCTGTGATAGTGAAAAAAAAATGATATTTATTCCTTTTATGGGAATCAAGTTTCGTCATATTATGTAGCTATCATATTTATATTCCTTGTTAATGCTTTTGGAATTGAACCTCGCCTATTGGGTCCTCTCACGTTGGATCCAATTTCCTTTTTTCCTTTTCTATCTTTACGACTGATCATAATTATCATATTCTAATTCTAATACAATACAAATATATATATATATATATACACGTAGAATATGGTATAAAAGAAGGATAATCAGCAAAATTAATTAATTGGACTGGTAGTTTTAGTAATATCCCAAATGAGTTAAATAATTAGAGTTTCGGAATCCAAAATTCTGTCCTCCCTATTGACCAAATTTTTTAGCTGATCGCACTGAAATTCTAAAAGCAATTAGAAAACCAAAATCCATTAAAAAGTCATTAATTTTTGAATGGGTAGGTAGTACATTAAGACTACTTTTCATGATAATGATTAAACTGCGGACTAGCTTATTTTTCTGGGTTCAAAGAATTCACGTCATGCTTCGCATATAATTCATGAAAAGAAGAGAAGAAATACAATAGTAGATTATGAAAGGGTTTGGTAGATACATGAAGGAGGATAAAGGAGGAGTAATGAGTGTGCTTTTGAAGGTTGGAATTTTGAAAGAATATATAAGAGCGTGAGGTTGAGCGTGTGTGAACGTGTTAAGGGAAGATAATTGTACGTGGAAGGCATTACAAACTGCAATAGCAACCTAGGTTCCTTCCCATGAGTGACCACAATCTAGTAACATCATGTTGTCTATTGACAACCTATTCCCTCCAAAAATTAAGAATGCTTTTTTTTTTTTCTTCCAAAGACTCCTATTTTCATAGGTAAGGTCCCTTTCATCATACTTTAATTTTTCTTTTCAAATGTGTTATGATATAAATCAAGCCTAGTCAAACATATCTATAATTTTAAGATGAGATTTTCAAGTTACCAAAAATATATTAAAAAAAAATTTCAAACTTAATTTTAGATGTAATCAATTTCGTTTAACATTCTTTTATTTATAAGTTTTTTATCCTGAAAAAATTACAATTATGGACAATATGTTGTTAGTATTTTATTTATAAGTATGTAATTAGTATTTTAGCACGAGTGTTGTATAGGATAAAGCTGGTTAATTAATCAATTTTTTTCAGGTATAAATCATTGCTATAACAACAAAAATTAATAGATATTTTGTATTAACAACATGATTTTTTATTCTTTAGTTAGTATTTTATAAATAGTTTTAAAAATAATATTATTAACGAATAAAAATATTTACTGAGACCTAAACTAAGCTAGGTCTTTCTCTACAAAAAAAAAAAAAAAAAAAAAAAAAAAAAAAAAAAAAAAACTAAGCTTGGTCTTTAGAGTTTAGACACCTTACCTTTATCTTATATAGGTAATAAATTCTAAAACAAAATGACCAAGTGAGACAGAGTCTTGTATATTATGTTGCCATATACCCATCTCCTTGTATTGAGAACTAAAAGTCTTATGTAATAAATAATAATGTAACTATTGTAAGTGCCCATTTTTTAGTCCAAAGGTTTTCCTTCCTGTAAGAAGAATATAATTTCCTTACATAAAAATTCGTTTATAAAAAAAAATTGTTGTAATATATATTAAACTGATAAACTCTAAGATACACATATGCAAAATTATTTGTCTTTTTTAAAAAAAAAAAAGAATAGTATTTTCAAATTAAAAACTAACTAATCCAATTCATCATGCATAAAAACAACTCTTCCAGCCTGCAGCAACTATTATAATCTCCTCGCTACGTTGTTGGAGGCACCTCAAAGGGTGAGATAGTTGACCCTAAGATTTAACGCGGCTACATATACAAGACAGGATTCGAACCTCTAATTTTGCTTAAGCGTGGATTAACCCCTACCATTGAACCACACGCTTGGGATTCAACTATTTGATTTGAAATACTCTTTTAGTTCCTGTCTTTATTCTTTAATCCTTATAGTTTAGCAACGTTTTATTTAAATTTTTATATATATCATTTTTTTCGGTTACTGTCATCTATTATTATATGAATTAAAAAGAAATTTTTTTTTAAACTATAAAAACTAAAAAGAAATAAAAATGAAACATACAAAAACTAGATGAAATATTTGTGATCATAAAAATTAGAAGATAAAATTCGTGAAACTATACAAAACAAAAACGTATTTAAACTTAATTAGTCTTTTTAATAAAAAGTAAATAGTAATTTCTAAAAAAAATCTAAAAGTAGAAGATGTTATAAAAACATTTTTGTGAAAGCTAATTTGAAGACAGCTTTTGTAGAATTATTGGATTAGCTAGGGAGTCTTAAAATTAACGAATGCCAGTTAAACAAGACAGTGACATAATTTTCTATCCAATTCCTTTATAGAAGTACAGAAACACAAGCAACGCAGGCAGATTCCATTAACGACAGAATCTCCTTCTGCATCGATAACCACACAATTCTTCAAACAACATTGTTGCTTATGCAGAAAGAATAAGAACTAATTGATTGAGAAGACGAAGATGAAATAAAGGTTACATAATTTGATGGAATTTGTAGACTGGTACTGTTGCTCTCACGAGGGTTTCTGAAGAAGTGATTATGATCGAACTCACTCATATGTTGCTTTCCAGGTTCTATGATCACATAAGTAGTGGTAATTAATTAAGCTCTCTATGCCACTCAATTCCACCACCACCTCCCTTTTACTTTCTTTTTTCTATGTTAGGTCACAATTCCAACTTTTAGGTATGGTGGGCGCTCACTTTTTTCTTCTTTTCTTGCATTGACTATATTTTATCCTTTTCAAACATTTTCACTCTAAATTAACCTTGTTTTCTAAAGGATATTAGAAACTATAAACAGATGTTATCAAATTTAAGTGAGTTTTATAAATAAATAAAGAATAATAGATATTTTCTCAATTGCCAATAAATTAATACTCTTTTTATTAGAAATATATATATTTTTATTAACCGTTAATTATATTAATATAAAGTATCTACCATTAACTATAGAAGCAATAGTTAATCTCCATTAAGAATCTTAAGCACATATAAAGTGAATATTCCCTACCAACATAATGCATTCCATGCAATAAATTAAATATGCAAATGTTTCAAATTGAGAAAGAAATCGTAAAATTAAGTTATTTGGATTTGATATATACAGTATGAGTGTGACAGAATTTAAATGTTAAAAATTCAATATAAATTAACATTGATTAATAGTACAATAATCTTAACACTTAAATTATCTAAAAAATAAATAAATAAAGATACTTTTAACTTTATATGGTGTATCTTCGGAATATAGAATTTAAATTAAATCTTATTTGGAAATTAGTTTAAATTAAAATTAAATTAAGAAATGGATTTCAAAAGGAATAAAAAATTAAATAAAAAATAAGATTAATTAAATACTTATTATATCATATTGTGACGTAGCAGGTTGGTGTTTTAGTAGCCCAGAACGGGTCGTTCCCAATCTGGAACGGGTCGTTCCAAGCTATTAAAATGGCCAGAAAATCGTAGCTGAGAACGGGCCGTTCTGGAGGGAGAACGGGCCGTTCTGCATGTAATTTTTGTACGTGGTGAGCGGGTGCAGAACGGGCCGTTCCGGTTTCGGTACAGGCCGTTCTGGCCACTCCGGGATGTCTATAAATAGGGGTTGTGGGCATTTGAGAGAAGGAGGTTTTTTTTTAAGAGAGAAGTTCTAGAGAGAAGGGCTCTGGACTGGGAAGCTGACCTTTCAAGGATTGAAGTTCCGGGTTGAGCTTTGGAAAGGGGATTCCGCTTCTTGGCTATCCTGATCCAATCTTCAGGTAAGGGAAGTTAGTTGAGGTTAAGTTGATAAGTTGTTATAGGTGTGAACATGTTTATGTTGTAAAGTGGTTGATTTTGCTGATTAATATTGTTAATGCTGTATGATGAAAAGTCGAGTTGTGAAGTATGTTGTTTACGTTGTTAATGATCTAAAGCTGAGCAGTAATGTATGACGCTCATAATGAATTTAGTTGTTGAGCTGATTAATGATGAGTTGTGCTGTGGGATGTTCATGCTGAATCATGATATTTAAGTCGTCTTGTATGATATTGACATGTTTTGATGAAAACGAGTTTTCGGGGTTTCCGGGGTTCTGATGAAAATCTTGAGGTTTTCTTCATTGTGGCTGCATGTGGGTAAAGCTGGGATTTTTGAGATGGTTGATGAAAATGGGAACTCTTGGCTGGATTGCATGCTGGTTTTCTGGCTGTTTTTGCAGGATTTGGTGAAGTTTTTCGAAAATAGAGTGTTGCTGCTGAGCTTCGCACTGGGCGCTGTTCTTTCGCGCCGGGCGCGTGACCACCAAGAAACTCTATTTAGGCAAGCCCGTCGGGCGCAAAGGTGTGTGTGCCGGGCGAGCTTGAGAATGGGAGTCTCTGGTTGGCCCCCGCCGGGCGTGACTTGAGCTGCGCCGGGCGCGATATCAATGGTGATCTGTTTTGGGTGTTCTGGTGTCGCGCTGGGCGCGCGTTTGGACTCGCTGGGCGCAGAGGCTCCTTTGGAGTCTCTGCCAAGAGGGCGCTGGGCACAATGCGAATTGCGCCAGGCGCGAGACCTTGGTAGGTCTCTGCCTTCCCCACGCTGGGCGCGGGTTAGGCCACGCCAGGCGCGGGTTAGGCCACGCCAGGCGCGTGAGACTCC